AATTATGATATTATAATTCAATTAAACTTAAAAAAAAATTAAAAGTTTCAAATTTAAAAAAACTAATTTTGTCCATCTATCTAGAAGACAAATATGGGAATTCAATTTTATATGAAACGATCTAGCTGGCACTTGGACCATATATAAAGAAATATATATACACGCTTAAACGAGCGAGCAAATATATGTACTTATTCTATTTATACACATACATATATATATGCGTGCGGGTGTGTGTGTGTGTGTGTGTGTGTTTTCCTTTTTTCTCGCCAACTTTCAAATGCAACGGAGAGTTTCGCAAATAAAAATAAATGGTAACGTATAATCAAAACTTGCAAAATAAAATGGATTTATTGAAATAAATATAAAAAACATTTCCCTTCCTTTTAAATAAACATTTCTTTAATTTTTAAACTGGCACAATCAATCTATATATATATATATATATATATATGCGTGAGGGTGTGTGTGTGTGTGTGTGTGTGTGTAGTATATGGCGTATTTTCCATAGTAGTCCATAGAAGGTCGATGCAACGAGTTTAAGAATTATGCGGCGGAGAAGCGAGTCTTTTGGGTGCTTGCAAGGCAGAAAATTGGAACACTTCTTTGCTATTCGAGTTTATGGAAAGTAGTGCAGATATGTTTACTATGAGAACTCCCAATTTTGTAACCGAACTAAAAGCTTTTGTATATTCACGATAAGAATTTTTTTTACAATCAAATAAATTTATAAAATAATTGCATATATTCCGACAGTTTCCGACTAATAATACTTTAGATAAAAATTACTGTTATCAAGAAATGTCAATTTATCTATTGGACATAAAAACCGAATTTCTATATTAAATCTTTTAAATTTCTTATTACAATTCTGTTACAGCTATTACATTCGTTAGAGAAAACATTTAGAATTTCCATATATTTTTTTTAATGTATGAATTAAATATATTTTAGTAATATATTAAATATATTTTTTTTACATGTAAATTATACAGGAGAGATGTCGTGTTTTATAATCTTTTCATTTTATATTTTAGTGTGTAATAACTAGTGAGTTATTAAAAATTATTTAAGAAAATGAATCTTGGGAGCGATTAAAATAGAGAGCTACCTAAGGCAACATTAATATCATAAGAAATGCTTCTTGAAAAAGAGAAAAAATGATTTTGATTTAAAATATTTTTTTCAGTAATGAAATCTGGAAGTAATAACGTGGAGAAAATAGGATACCTTAGACGTGCGCTAATTCATTACAGTAGCAATGTATAGCCAATGTGTAGCCAGTAAATTATTAAAATACGCAACGCAAATGCGAATTATATTGTATCGAATGAGAAAAGAATGTACGTCAAGAAGTGGTCAGAAAGATAAATGCCGTTACCGAAAGGTTACGTACTGCTACATAGTACTGATGCGGGAGAAATCCGCGCGGTACTAAAAGTATCCGAAAACTTTTCAGGAAATACTTTCCGCAGATACGATAAAACTTTGCACAATTGTGAGGAAATAAGAGCAATGTCTCTCGTGATCTACCTTTGAAGATTAGTGACAGCGTTGAAGACGCTATATAAATCTACAAATAGAAATAGAACATATAGAAATAGAACGGTATAAATAATAAATTATGAGAAATTCCGCGGATCTAATTAAATAGCACACTCCACATTTTATTAATTATACAATGTGCAATTATTATATATATTATATTTTTTGGAATTAATTTAGCAAATAAGTTATATTTATTTTTCATTGCGTTGAAGTAAATGCTCGTCGAAATTAATATAAACGTTAAAAATGAATATACTCTTCTAACATTTTCGTCTTTCTTAATTACTGATTCAATGCATACTAATTTTAAATTATATCTTTTTCCGTTCTATTTAAATTTTCAATGAAAATAATAGAATAATCTGTCGTGACGTTTAGTTTTGTTCGTGTCACGCATTCTTAGCGAAAATGACAAATAGAAAGGTTCGCCTACAAATGGAATATATCTATATTCGCGAGAAAATTCAGGGCAACCGAAGCAGAATCGAAAAATCGGATGACCGAGCATAAGAGAAAAGGTCGGGGCAGTACGCCCTCATATGTCTGGGGAAATTTTATTACCGGTAGTAACACGTCCAGAGATTTTTCCAACAGCGGAGAAGTACACACAAACGCGTCTCCAGAAAGAGCGGAAACGCAAGGAAAGAAGGCGCACCGGCCACGATCACGTGGAGGAAGTCACGAAGTATAAACGACGTGGTCCCTGCACGGCAATGTTGACGTTTATCTCGTACTAAAGGCGCTGTCGGACATAGAGTTCTTACGCCGACAAATCAATTTACGTCCCATGAGAAAAGTTTCGCGAAAACAAGAGAGGAAATGACGGCGAGCAGCGGAGACCGCGAGAATCGTATTACCGTCGACAATATTTCCCACCGGCAGCAATTCGCTCTTCAAACGGTCTGTTTTGTAACGATAAGCTAATAGGTCAAGGTACATATTTTGTGAGGGAATATTATTCGAAAGAGCTGTTGATTTAAATCGATCATGACTCACGTCCATTTACGCTAATCCTGATTAAATCAATCTTACGAATTCTGTGCTTTTTTATTACTAACATGAGAAAAACAGTAATATGAAAAAGTTTAATTGAATTTTGTGATTCTTATATCTCCGTGTGTATATTGCATAAGAAGAGCAATAATCCAAAAAATAATAATCAATTGTTAATTCAACATTAATTAATCAAAATTAATTGATTAATTTGAACAATTAACACACGACTTTTTAACACGACTTATAAAAACATATAATTTAATTTATATTGCAAAAAATATTGGTGAAAATAGAACTTTGCAAGAAAGACGAAGTATTCAACTACCAGATCCAACTCGGTTAGCACGAAAAGAGTCCATAACTGGC